TTCATTTTCCTTTTAGTCTGCTTAATTCCCAATTATTTCCTTTTAGTCATGTTAATTCCCAGTTAACTCGTATGTGTTCTTTTAAGTTCTTCCACCTTATAACGATTATAAGGGATCAAATAATACTAGATAATAATCATATTGTTCACTCACTTTACCTTTTTGTGCAACCCAAAGAAGATAAAAAGATGGTAACACAATTCAATATATTATGATCATTCATATATAATAACAATCTTCCATTTGTGCAATACATAACAATACAATGCATCACACAAACATTGGATAGTGCTAGCTTTCACGTAAGTGACCCCTAATTGTATATGAATAACAATCTTCCATTTGTAAACACAGAATAGCATTATCCACACGTGTTGTTATCTCCGACCTTCCCCTATTAAAACCTACACTCAGTTTATTTAGCCATTTCAATTTCAAAATTTGAATCATAAAATCTCATATTCTCTGTTTACAAAGTTCCAAGGAATATGGGCACATAATAAAAGATTTTATTGCTTAGGTAAAATTTCAACAATATTCTTTCTCTGAATGTTTTTTTTACCATAGACCTAATTGGATATCTTGTTAAAATAATGTGCCCTCAATGGGAATAATGATAATTTTGGGTCTCGATGGAGATGACGATATTATTCATCTTCTCCACATCCTAATCAAATTATTAAACACCACCATGATAATCCTCCATTCTATTTCTCTATAAATTTTCTTCTTTGAACCACGATTTTAGGGATTTAGATGCGGCCTCATCTGCCAAGCATGTCAATATGTCAATTTTTTTTTGTAGAATCGAGTATCTAACACCACAGAAGTGCTAAACCCATCATGGTTGCATATGGTCGTCTTGTTAAGCAACCATGAGTTTCTATGTTACATGTCGTCTCTATTTTGTTCTCGGTAACTAATAATGAGCTTATTTGTTGAAGGTTATATTTAATCTATTCTTGCATTGCTATTTCAAATTTGTGACTTTTTTATAATCCACTCATAATCATATATAATCATATTGGTATTTCTCAACAGTTGCGTTCTTCGCTTTGTCAAGGTTGGAGATGGCTTTGGATTTTTATGTGCAATTTTGCCATCTGTCTAAGAATGTATATGGTAAGAATATATTTTAACAAAAAAAACAAATTAAAACATCTTTCGGTTTTACCCATTTGTTTGTATTGTTGGATTCTATTTGAATTGATTTTTAACAAGCATCTAGGATTTTATTAGGCCTATCCAATTCAGAATCTTATTAAAAAATAAAAGTAAAATGTTATAATAAACAAATAAATGGATAAACATTTGTGTTAAATATATAAATTAAAATGGTTTCAGAACTACCAAACAACTTAAAATAGATTGAAAAAAAAAGTGGATTGAATTATTACAACCCTACAACCCACCAAACCGGTCAAAGTTCTGAAACAAGTTAAGATGTTACGGTTATTAGAAGTTAAAATTATGAATGAGTGATTAATTGCAATTTGCAAGGAAGTGACACATAAATGAATTTATCAACGTTTGAGGATTGTAAAAACGAAAAAAATTATCAATTTTCTAACTTGGTTATAATTAAATGTTTTTATGGTTTTTTGATCTGATAGTCGTAAGAAAACTATTCATCAAAATATATTAATCAGCGTCGGGAAATTTTTTGTCGCCGCCGCTTTGCGCGGGCATACAACTAGTATATATATATATATATATATATATATATATATATATATATATATATATATATATATATATATATATATATATATATATATATGTGACATACATATATGTAGTATGCCATAAAGGCCTCAATAATACCGTCATATAATATTAAGTCCTTCCCCATATCTAAATACTCTAAAAACGTACAAAAAATTATCTATAATATACAAGGGAGTTTTGTTGTTCTATACATCATCGGTTTGATGAATACTAACCTTTAAGCTTGATACATGTTTATGTTGGGTTTCATTCGATCATAACAATTATGAAGTACATGCATAATTAAATTTACAAAATTAAAAATATTGTCCGCCAATAGATCTATCTGATGAATATTAAATCATACAGAAAATGTCACTATAGCACAACCAACTATTGTTATTTATTCAATTTGGTCACTAAACTAATTTTTTTGGGTGATAGGTCATTAAACTTACAAGTTAACTATCAATTAAGTCACTTCCGTTAATTTTTAATGGGTCTTAGTTACCAAGTTTACGTGGAAGTGTGACGTGTCCAAGAAGTTTAATGACTTATTACGTAAAAAAATAGTTTATTGACAAAATCGGATAAATGACAATAGTTGATTGTGCTACAATGATGTTTATTTGATATTTTATATTTTTAATAACCTTAATTAGAACATACTTCACCCACATAGTCATAATCTTCTTCTCTTTCACATGAACTAGACCTTCAACATGAGTCAGACCGACAACACTTTATTTTTTTCATTTCTTCCATTCTTCCCTTCTAACTGGTGGTACATGAACGAAGACCTCTTTCTCTCTTCTCTCTTCTCTAGCAGTACACCGTTGACCTTCACAGAAACCCTTGTACGCGTCGATTTCAAAATCGATTTAACATCCATAGGGACGATTCAACTCTGAAATCGTCTACGTCAAAGGTGTAAGATAGAACATGAATCTGTTTAATACTGGTGTTCATGCCCCAATCGATTGTTGGACCTAGATTCCGATCTGCATAACTCGTTTTTCCAAAAATTGATTTCGGAGTATGGTCATGTACGTACGAGAGATAGAGAAATGGGTTGAAAGTGTGACCCATATTTTTGTTTAACAGTATAAATTAAATTGAAAAAAAATATAAAAAAGGGTGGATGACTAATGGTCTGACCTACTGCCACATAAGTTTCCATGGCAGGTCACACTTCCATTTAGGCTTGTTAATCGGGGATCCGTTAAAAATTAACAAAAGTGATTCAATTGACAAATAACTTGTAAGTTTAATGACCTATTGCACAAAAAAATAATTTAGTGACCAAATCGGATAAATGACAAAAATTGATTGTCCGAAAATGACATTTCCCCGAAGAAAAAAATATGACGTGACGATAGTGGTACAAGTTAGCCAGAAAGTTAGCCAACCACCTAGGCTCGGTAATCGGGGATCCGTTTAAAATTAACGAAGATGAATTAATTGACATGTAACTTGTAAGTTTAATAACCTGTTGCGAAAGAAAAATATTTAGTGATCAAATCGGGTAAATGACAATAATTGATTATTCTAAATGACTTTTTCCCTAAAGCATAATATAAACAAATACATAAGAAACAATTATATTGAGGCTCTAATCTGACTTTTGTAGGCCTAAATAACTAAAAAAGTGTAATAGTTAAATTAGCACCCCATCTGTAGTTGAATTAGAGGCTTAATGTTATAACTTTTTATCATAATCTTGAAGAGGAAGAAAGAAAAAAAGATACCCAAAATTGCTACATTCATGAGAGGCACACTTTTGGTAATGAACAAAATATATCCTTATATAGGCTAGGATTGAGGTTTTTTTTTTGTATATGCTCCTTAGGCCCTTATTCATGCCAAGGTCAAGGAAAACCCCTTGTGGGCATCCTTTCATTGTCTAAGAAAATTTTGGATGTCCTATACAATGCTAATTCATTTTCGTTTTAGTGTGACTAAATTCCTAATTATTTCCTTTTAGTCATGTTAATTCCCAATGAACTCGTATGTGTTCTTTTAAGTGCTTCCACCTTATAAAGATTATAAGGGATCAAATAATACTAGATAATAATCATATTGTTCACTCACTTTACCTTTTTGTGCAACCCAAATAAGATAAAAAGATGGTAACGCAATTCAATATATTATGATCATTCATAAAAAATAACAATTAATCTTCCACTTGTGCAATACATAACAATATAATGGATCACACGAACATTGGATAGTGCTAGCTTTCACGTATGCGACCCCTAATTTCATTGACTATGTGATGTATATACATAGCAATACAATGAAACATTAAATGATTGATGTTGAAAGTTGGAATCATTTAAATTTTGAATGTGAAATAATTAATTAAACAAGAGAGGTTAAACTTAAACCCATAAATTTCTTAAAAATATATGTTTTTTTGTTGTAATTTTGCAAGTTTCTCTAAAAAAACATAAAACATAAAACATAAAACAAATACGATTGTTCACAAGTTAATTATGTTGGCTTTCTTGGTAGACTCATTCACACTACTACGTATATACTATATAAGTTTTGAATTATAAAAAGAGATAAATGGAAGAAATAGTAATGCATTTATCATTGTTTCCTTATCAAAACATTGTACCTTCATTTTTTTTTAATAAAACATCATACTTCAAAATTATTTGTCGTTAAAACATTCTACTTCAAAAAATCTACTAGATTATACCAATTGATAACTTATTAATTTGCATTTTAATGAATTATACAGTTAACAGGTATTTATGCCATGTCATTTGTCAACATCATATCTTCGTATTATTTTATTTAAGAGGCTTATAAAATCAATAGAAGCTAAAGTCACGATAATTCCCTTTCCAAAATTTTAACGTTTTCATTGTCTTTCTACAATAACTCGTGAAGCTACACCATGATCTCATCCTAGGCCGATTGCTTGACTTTTAAAGTCAAAATAAAACCATGAAAATATATACAAAGAAATCGGATAACTTAAGTTAGTCTCACCATTGTTTTGACTTTTGATCTTCATATGGTTAGACCATGAAATTAAGGTCTTAAAGTCTAGATTAAGAGCAACAATCAGTCTCACTACTCTTATCAACCTTGCAATGCAAAAATTCACGTAGCACAATCCAACATTGACAAATTCATATAATATAGTAATATACAAATATCAATGCATAATGTAACAATCATAACTTAAACAAAAGTGTTTACACACAACAAAACACTTTTCTTACAAAAACAAAATTCACAACAACTATATAAACACAAAACCTAATGAAAATATGAAATCACTTTCTATGAAAACTATGTAATGATCTTGGAGACCCTTCAAACAAATCCAAAAGATAACTCTCAAGATCATCCGCACTATACTTAATATACTTCTCACTTATACTATTCGCATACCTACCAACAAAAGTTCTATAAGCTTGAATCAACTTCAACGACAATGAAATCCTTAAATCCTCAGAAAGTTGACTATTTGGTATTGACCATCCCGTTTGACTTTTGTAAATCTCTTCAAACGCAATATAAAACCCTTGTAACCTTTCTTTAAGCAAAGTCTTTGAAATCGACCCTGAATTACTTCCATTATTATGAAGCCCTTCTTCTTTTAACAAATTCAAAATTGAACTCAAAGTCGATCTTTCATAACTCATTGCATATTGTTGAAACTTCCAATTACGTTTTCGAATCCAATTGTCACCAAGAACTGTTCTTAGCTCTGACCCTTTGACTTTTTCCGCCATGTAATTAATATTATTCATTAAAAAAAGATGCCCTAATGCTTCTTCTCTATATAATCTTGATTTCTCTTCAAGGTTAGATTCAAGAAGTGACATCAGCGATTGGAAATGTGACATCATCGGTGAAATTGAAAAAGATGAGTTTTTTTGATTCGCGTTATCATCTTCAAGATTTACGTCTGGTGAAGATGATGGATCTTGAAATTGAATTTCGCTTTTCAAAAGGGTATTTAGGGAATTACTGTAGTCGATGAGGGTAGTAACGTAATTCATCACCCAACGAGTTAGATGGTGAATCCCACCTCCTGGAAAAGCGGCATTTGACGGATTTGCCCCTACTGCGTTTTTGAATTCAAGAAATGTTGTTGTTGCGCAATCGCCGATACGAGTCAACACATCTTGGAACTCTGTTCGTAAGTATGATCCAGGGTCATTTTGGTAAAAAGACTCGATATCTGGTTTCAAATCGGCTAAAACTTCATACATATCAAGAATTCTGATCAATTTTTCGGGTTTATGAGGCCCAATTGAAATAGCTTCTGCGAAATTTAGAAGTTGCAAGATTGAAGCTTTTGATGACTCAGCAAAACACGAATTTACAACCTCGGTTTTCCCAAAAATTTGTTCGCATAAAGACTTTTCACTTGCGAGATAAATTCTCACAAAGATTTTCATCACTTTTGTCCATTTTCTAATCTTGGAATTCAATGTAGCCCATTCCATCTTTAGAACATCTTCAATGCTTGATTTTTCAACTTCAAGAATGAATAAGCAATCATCTAAAGCATCTTTTCGGACACTTATAAAAGCATTACAACATTCTTTGATGTAATTTGAGTCAAACATTAAAGTAGAAATGGATTTGAGATTAGGGATTACTTGAGGATTGATTAGATCCATGATATGAACTTCTGATCCTCTGCTTATAGTTATACTATCTCTTTGAACTGAATCTTCAAATGAATCATCTTCAAATGAGATGATTGAGGTTGAATCCACACAATCATCTTCGTTTGATCTAAAAGATAAACGTTCAGGTTCGAAGTTTTGTTGATTGTGAATGAGAATATGCTTGAATTCTTCTTCGAGTCTAGCCATGGATGTTTGAAGAACATCGTTGGCTTTGAGTAAAACTTCATGTTCTGAAGTGTCTTTGTTTGGATTCAAACTCTCTAATCTTTCGACTAATGTTTTGACTTCATTCACTGCTTTTAAGTATTCGTTGGTTTGATTTTCATCAGACCCGGAATCCCATATCATGGATTGACCCACTTCCCATGTCATGATCTTATCTTGAATTGAATCGAGGCGAATCTTGATATCACTTAGTTGTTCTTCTTCATCTACGTTTTCATCTTTAGGTTTGATGATCTTTACTATGGATGATAGTTTTGTGGCTAAATCCTCCAAGATTTTCGTTGCTTCAATCGAGAATTTCTTGTTCGACTCCAGTTCGCTTAGGATAAGTCGAGCAGCAGCTATCAAATTCTCTTCTTCCGGTGTATTCATTATCGGATTGCAAATTCCCATACGGAAATATACAAACAATCAAGAGATTCAGACACCAAACTCACATAGGAATATCACCGAACACTTGGTGTGCAAAACTAAATTCTGTGGAATACGTTAAACGATAGAGGATATGCGAATCGAGATATATGTAACGGAATAAACAAAAAAGGAGGATGAAATCAAAGAAAATGAAAGAACCCAGAACATGAACAAGAGAAGAAAGTTCGTAATCTCCTGTTGACCCAAAAAAAAAGGAGATCTTAAAGTCTCGTGGTCAATTGAAAGACAAATTAATCAAAAGTTCCCGATATATTGGTCCAAAAACACTCCATTTCCTAGAACGTGGTCGATGATTGACTGTCCAGAAAAGTACAAACAATTACAGTTATTGATGCATGTGGTGGGTACCTGGGAAAAGTTTGTGGTGGCAGAAGAAGACAAAACCCAAGAATATTTGAACAGCAATAACCTGTCAATCAGTGGCCCGTTTCCTTCTCGATTTTCGAAAATGTTGAAGTATCAAGGTCCTTCTATGGCAGAAATCCAAGAAACGAGCTTGTTCAATGAATTGAAGCAGGTGGAGGTGTTTTGGTGTGAGTGGATGTTGTGAAACTGCGTGTTCCAGCGAGTAATCCTCCGTTGACGAAGCATCGAAAAAGTTGTGTGAACGTGGAAAGATGTTATTGGTGTTTAGGAAAGTCCATGGGTGGACTGGAAGTTGTTGTTGACGAACATTACCGTTTATTTTGACGTTTAATTAATTTTACATTAAGCATTAAAATAATAATAATAATAATAATAATAATAAATTATTTTTTGATTTGTATTATTGTATATATTTAGTCATTTATTTATTTATTTATTTTCATATTTTCTGATTCAACTTGTTAACTTGTTCAAAAAAACATTCTTATGACTTGTTATAGCAGGTTTCCAGTATATTTGGCAACTCCAGCGAGACTCCGGTCATCTTCTCCATCGAGTCTATGGCTAAAAATCTAAAACAATTTGATTTTTTGATTTTTAGATCAAGAACACACACATCAATTTTTTAACTTCATCTATTCAAGAACATATACAAACTCATGATGCTCCAACCCAGAAATCAAAAACAAATATGATAAACTCAAGAACATAAACACATAAATTGTTTGAGTTTGTAACAAAATCAAAGAACATGAACGGATGAAGATCACAAATCGAAGAAGACACAAATATTTGAATCTGTAACAAAATGGACGAAGCCATTCAATAACCCACTAATCTAGGGTTTGTTCTTATGTTCAAACCATGTGTGTCTTCTTCTTATCAATTTTATAAACATTGGCTTTACTAATTAGGTAAGTAAAATAATTTTGCAAATCAAATTGGTTCTTGATTGAATCAATGTTTATCTAAATCGATTTTGGTTGGGCCAATTTGACATTTAACTGAATTTTGAATTTTTAGTTTACAAGTTTTTATATATTAAAATGTTCGTGTTAAACAAAAAGGCTAATGAGCTATTTAAGTTGGAAAACATTATTGAACTAAAACAAGTTACCAATATGATATGTTATTTGTATTTTTCTTCAAAAAATATGATAGTATCTTCATATAGTTTACGGATAAATTGAAGGATAAATGCTATAAATAAATTACGAAACTATTTTCATTGTTCTATAAAACATCCCACCATCACTGAGGACAACTATTCACCACCATGGGACCTTAACGATTTATGCATCAATGGCTAAGCGTAAAGATCTTCCCATACGTAGGTGTTGTATTATAATATAAAGGGATTTTAATGGACTGAGGTGTGATGAATTCTTTTAATGAAGTAAAATTCTTAAACAAATATAAAACTAAAAATAGTAGCATATTTTTTAAAAACAACAAACTTTGCTATAGGCTTTTGATCTTTTTGGAAACGGCAAATATATATTAATAACTTCACACGATTAGCAAGTAACTAAATCGAGGGCAATAGAAAACAAGTACACGAAAGGAAATAGATAAAATGTTTTAACAAAATGGTGAAATGCTCCAATCTATCCATGTACAATTTACCTTCGATGTTCTAAATTTGAACCAGGAGAAAGTTTCAATATCACCTCGTCTGCAATCCTAGTTGGACTCGTATTTATCGCCTTGAACAGTCTATTATTCTAGCCACCCAGATAGACCATAATAGACCATAAAACACCGCATTGATCCTTTCCTTTTTCTTTGGACAATTGCCCCATGTAGCTGCAAAGTTAATAAACTCATTGACATTATCAAAAGTAGTATTGGGTATGACACACCATTTTAAAATCCATTATCGAGTTTCTTTTGCCACGCGACAAGTAATCAGCAGATGATCACATGTTTCTTGTTCAATATTACATAGAAGGCATAAGGTTGATTGTACTTTCATTCCTCTATATACGAGGTTTAGTGCTACTAGGAGCTTGTCTAACGCTTCCCTCCATGCAAAGCAACGTATTTTGATTGGCACTACCTTATACCAATTGATTTTTGTTCCTGTAAGAGGGGTAGGGATGGAATCAATCTTGTGGTGTAGAATGTGTACCTTGTACTCACCATCTTTGCTCAAATTAAAGCTAAACCATTTTGCACAGGTTGTGTGTTAACCCCCTGTAGCATAGAACATAAGTTCTCCAGATCTTCCAGAATATCCCCCCCCCCCTTTAATTTGTGATCTCCATCTCCATTGTAGTCCTGAGTTGGTAATTTTGTCGTAGACCAGACAGAATTTCCTAGTTTCCAACTCAAACAAGCATGTGAATCGTTCTTGTAGAGTTAGAGAGCTACACCAACGATCTTTCCAGAAGAGTATGTTTACATTTAATCCGGGAACCAGTGAAAAGGGCTGATGGTAACTGATATCAATTTCAGGAAGAGATTTAATAGCCTTGGCTATGTTATTCCAAACCCCACGCATTGAGGTTTTTGCAATTACAATAACAGGCTTTCTGTTAAGGTTATGAATACTATTTATGCATTCTCTCCATAGTCCTCCACATCTTTCTTTAAGTTTCCACCACCACTTTGTAAGTAGTGCTAGGTTTTGAGCTTTTAACGTCCCAACACCTAGTCGACCATCTTTTTTGGAAGCTATGATTTTTGACCAAGATACCCAATACCCCATAAGAATCTCCTCCACATCTTTTCAAGTTCCTCAATGATTCCATTTGGAGCCTTGAATAGAGAGAAATAATATGTGGGTAAACTATCGAGTACAGATTTTATTAAAACGAGTCTACCCCCGAAAGATAGTGTTTTTACCCTCCATACATATAACCGAGATCGAAACTTATCGATTACTGGCCTCTAATTTTTCTTCAACAACATGTTTGCACCAACTGGGACTCCAAGGTACATGAAAGGTAATGTGCTTTTAAGACATCCAAGCACATTCGACTGACATTGAAGATCCAAATCAGTGACACCGATGCCAAAAAGACGCGAATTTTGAAAATTGACATTCAATCCGGAGCAGATGTGGAACATTTGAGGATTCTTGCTAAGTTTTTTATGCTCCCAGTGTTCCATTTACCTATGAAGATCGCATCATCTACGTAGAATAGATGTGATATAGTAGGGTCATCATATGGTAAATGAAGACCTTGCATGAGGTATTTCTTTATTGCAGTTTTGATGACTATATTCAGATATTCCACTTCCATGATAAAAAAAGGAAAGGAGAGAGCGGGTCTCCTTGTTGTACTCTGTTGGTTATGGGAAAATCATCTGATGGAGATCCGTTTATAAGTACGGTGGCTCTCGAAGATGATAGACATCCATGAATCCACCTCCGCCATTTGGGACTGAATCCCATTTGTTCCAGGATGTGTCTTCCGTCTATGTAAGCTGATTGAACTTCATCGAGAACCGAGCTGATTACTGGTTTAAGTCTTACTGCAAGGATTTTGGCAATAATCTTATACATGCATCCTATCAAGATGATAGGTCTATAATCTCCCACACTCAACGGATCCTTGACTTTTGGTATAAGGTTTATAAAGGAAGAATTACAACCCTTGTCAAATTGACCACGAGCTTCAAAATGTGACACAAAATGGATGACATCATGTTTGATTAGTTCCCACTTGTGTTTCAGAATTTTGAATGTGTATCCGTCAGGCCCTGGAGATTTGTCACCACCACAACTCCATACTGCTTGTCTTATTTCTTCAGGAGAGATAGGCGAATCTAGGAACTCCCTTTGATCATCCGAAAGAGTTTGAAATTCTTCACTAATCAGTTTAGGTCTCACAGGCCATTTTTCGAGGAATTTGTCACTAAAGAATTTATGTATAGCCTGTTTAATCTCTGTTGGTTCGGTGCTCCACTCCCCGTTAATCGACAGACCATGCATTCTGTTTTTCCTGTTTTTTTAATAGCGTTGTGAAAGAATCGATTATTTTCATCGCCTTCTATTAGCCACCGAATTTTTGCTTTTTGTTGGATGTCCCGTTTCGCAAAATACTCTAATTCACTGATTTTGCCTTTTGCATACTCTTCTTTCATTAAATTCAATATCAGATAATGGTTTTGATTCCACAAGCTCTTCATTATCCTCCACCCTTTTCTTTAGTTGAGCTAATAGCTTAGATTCTTGGGATGTATCTAAACTTCTCCATTTGCTAATTTCTTTTCTCACATACCAGAGTTTGGATTTTAAGAACATATTGGGAGTACCAAATCCTTTGAAAGAGAGCCAAGCATTCGTGAAAGTCGTGTCAAAGTCTTCCCTGTGAATCCAAGAGTTTAAGAATAAAAAAGGGGGGTGGCCCAAAATCTTTGTTTGAAGGTTTAAGGACCAGGGGGAATGCTCCGAGTGTTCATGAGGTAGGGAAATAACAGAGGTGAGAGGTTTTTGTGCAATGAAATTCGAACACACCAAGTATCGATCCATATTGCTGAGTTTTATTCCATCATCACACATATATGTGTATTTTTTTACCTCCCTGATTGAATTCCTTCAACCCCACATCTGCAATGAAGTTGTTGAAATCTTTTGCAGTGGT